GAACCCCACGGCAGCGAACAGCGCTTATCGCGAAGAGCATGGCGTGGCCCCTCATTCTTCGGATGGGATCGGTTCGGACTCGGTTCTGACTCGGAGCGCTTTGCTCCGCCGTGCCCCGCCGTGCCCCGCCGTGCCCCGCCGTGCTGCGCCGTGCTGCGCTGGCCCGCCAGGCCCGGCTGCGCCCAGCTGTACGGCCCTGCCGTCCCGAGCTCACTCTGCGCCGCGCCGCGCTCTGCTCCGCCGGCTCTGCTCCCCAGGGCCCGCCGTAGGCCCGCCGTAGGCCCGCCGCCTGGCCCATCAGTGGTGCAAGCTCGCCCCGCTCGCCCCGCCAGTACCGCCCTGCCAGGCCGGCCCCACCCGAGCCAAGCCCGCCCAAGCCCGCCCGAGCACAGCCCCTGCGGCAGCCTTAGCCTGCGGATCCTGCGGACCTGCGTACGGCCCTCAGCCTCGCCGCACCGCCTCGCCGCGCGCACCGCGCCAACCCGGCCAGTAGCCCGGCCAGCCCGGCCAGCCCGGCCACAGAACCCGCAGGAACCCGCAGGGCTCCGCCAGGGCCGCCAGGGCCTCCCGCCAGGGCCCCGCAGCAAGCCTTTTCGCCTCCTCAGCCGAGCACCACTGCCCCCACCGGCCTGCACTGCCGCGCCCGCCGGCCTCCCGTCAGCACGAAGTGAAGCACGCGAAGCACGGGCGCGCGTGCGTAGCCAGTCAGTAGAGTGCAACAGCGGGGCTCGGAGCCCAGCCAGGCCCAGTCGCGAACCAGTGCTCCTGAAGTGTGTGCGCGCGCGTGTGTGTGTGTGGTTACGATGGGCGGACCCGCCCCGGAGCCCTTGTGACAGAGGGGTGTTTGAGACGGTGCAGTGTAGTGCGGGAAGTGAGCACCATGGAGTGCTCGTGCGGCGCGTGCGCCTCGTGCATCGCGAGCTCGTGCGCCGTGTGCTCGTGCAGCGTGTGTTCATGCGCGATGTGTTTGTGCCCGGTTCGTCTGCGCGACACCCCCCAGGGGCCCGCCAGGCCCTGCAGGACGACCCGGTGGCCGCGCTGGGCTACTCGGACGGCCCTGGTGCTGCTACTGGCCGTGGCGTGCGCGCTCGCGGACATCGCCACCGCGGACGCCACGGCGGACTTGGGCTCTAGTCGGGCCGACGCCGCCCCTGGGTCCACCCCGGGCACCACGGTCATGTTCATGGAGGACTACCGCCAGCGCAACGGCACGTCGGCGCGCGGCGGCAGCAGGGAGGTGGACGACGACGTCGAGGAGCTGCACCACGGCAAGGTGCGGCGCCAGCACTCGTCCGAGTACGCCGACGAGGAGGCGGACCGCCGCCACCACAAGGGCCGCGGCGCGCGCAAGCAGCAGCGCCGGCGCCTGCAGGAGCACGGCGACGACGTGCGCCACGTCCTCATCGACGACAGGCCCATCCGGCCCGCGGGCCACGGCGGCACGTGCCCCATGTGCCAGGAGCGCGAGGTCATCAAGAACTTCTCGCTGGCCGCCATCAAGGAGCAGATCCTCCACAAGCTCAACATGGCGCACCCGCCCAACATCACGGGCCGGCGGCTGCCGAAGTACGACCACCTCGCCGACCTCCTGGACGCGCAGCCCCGGCGCGGACACTCGCCGGGGGGGCACTCGGCCGGCCACAACCACGGCATGCTGGGCGACGACCCGGCCGCGGGCATGTTCCGCGCCGGCATGGAGGTCTACGAGGAGGAGGACGACTACCACGCCAAGACGGAGAGGATCATCGCCTTCCCCCAGAGCCGTAAGTAACAGACACGAGTGAGCGGGTGGGCCGCGCGCTGCGCTGGCTGACGTGGACTCGTCTTTTAACAGTTCAGTGATTGCGTCAAATCGACGGAGCGGGCCTCTTGGTCAAACCCCTGCTTGATAAAGCCCAGACCGGCTGGCCGGCGCGGGGCGACCCGGGTGCCGGCAGCCCCGGGCGGGTCCCGGGTGCGCGAGGAGGCGGCCGGGGGCGACTGGAGGGCGGAGGCGGGCGCTGTTTGGGGACACCCAGCTCCGCAGCTCAGCTCGCGACGATTAACGGGCGCGACGCGACCTGGTCCGACAGGTGCGGGCCGTGCTGGCCCCGGAGACACCTGCCCGGCCAACGGCGTGGCGCACATGGTGAGCTGGGAGAGGACGGAGATGACATACAGGGCGACAAACCTGAGCACAAAGTTATTGTCTCTTGGGCATGTTACACTGTCCAAGCACCCACCACAAGCTAGTTAAAATATGCAAATGGAAAAGGTACTTAACTGATTTTATTTTGAGAAAGTGTCAAGAAGGTGGTTTGGTCGCCTATTCTGAGCTCTTGAAATGGAAAGAGTAAGATGAGCACTGTATGATAGCAGGTGATGTGAGTCGGTTCGCCATCCGTCGCTCGCCGTGGCGCCTTATGGCCACGGGTAGGCAAGCCCGTCCGACACGCCTGCATGCGGGACAGTGTAACTCAAATACAGTACGGGGTCTATCGGACTGTATCTTCATTTTAATAATGTTTTAAAGAAAACGTCACGTGTCTTCAGTCCACGTCAATTTTGTTTCCTCAGATATGTGGTGAGGGAGCGTTGATTCACACTCAAGTGTTGATACACTGTTGCAGCCAGCTAACGATTTGATTCGTGTGTCAGTTTGTTTGAGTGACTTTTTCTCGTGCCCAGGTGGAAGATTTTGTTCCATTGTACAGTGTTTCTTGTCGCGATGCTGAGCGCCAGAGGCAGCCTCTTTTTCATCCCGACGCGTCGTTGTATTCCCGCTAGACTTGACGCGTGCTCGGCCCTGCTCGCGGCACGCGCCACAACCTCGTAACTCCTATGGTTTCCATGTATGACTTACTGCGACATAATGTGCCAGGTGCTGCCATGGCTTTGCCCGGCAACAAGAACCAAACCCCTTGCCTTTCCGTTCCCGTTATGCGTTGAGCAAAGGAATCCTGAAGCCCATGCCGTGAACCGCATGCCCCTGACGCGCCGTGCCGCGCAGCGCCACGCCGCGCCACGCCGGGTCTTCTGCCAGTCGAGTTGAGACGAGCCAAGCGAGCCAAGAATTTTTGGTACGGTACGTCGTGTACTTTGACGGACACGGTGCGGGGCAGCGGGGCAGCCTACACCCAGCCTTCCTAAAACCTTATTTAATTGCATAAAGTGTTTCGAGCGCCTCTAAATTAAGCTTGGCAACGACCTACACTATAACGAAGCTTATTTTCTGTTTTTGAGGCAAATGTGCCTTAAGAAATCCCGCCATGTCACGCCCACGCTCCCATCGACCGACATTTCGACGTCACTCCTCGGGAACATAGCCACAGCAACGGCATTGTAAATTGATTTTTATTCTTATCGAGAAGACCTACTTTCCTTTTTGATTGCTATTCGGCTTTGTGGTTTCGAGGAGCTGATGACGGCCGGCCGGGCCGGCCGGCGGTGCAGAATGTGCTGTCTGTCGCAACAAGAGTGTTGGATCTGCTCTCTTGCGCGACCAGCAATTATGTCTGCCGTTAGATTAGATTTGTGTGTCTTTCGTTTTATTTCCGCTCAACTCCACTCTCATCACAGCGAGAGCACAGCTACGCAACAAGAGAGAAGCATCTGTCGTCGTTTTTCAGTACCGCTTTCAAAATCCATCTTTCTGCACCGAAAATCGCCCCCTTTCCCTCGCCCGTTCTTGTTCTCATTCGTGTAATCAAACCCGTCAACAAAAGAAGGAATTCCCTCCCCTCCCCCCTCCGCCTCGCCCTTCCCTTCCCTCTCCCGTCTTGTCCCTATCTCTTTCTCTCTCTCCCCCCTCCAGCCAATAAGCGGCAAAAGACCTCCCGCTCGGCTCGCCCGCGCGGTCCGAACTGAACTGCCCTCGGTGGTCATTGACCAAACGGTCAGGCGGTGGCGTGGTCTTTACAATGTAAGGCACACCGTTATGTGATTCTGTGGGAAAGGAAGAGAGAGCGAGCGAGAGAGAGTGAGAGAGCGAGTGTGTGTGAGAGAGCGAGAGAGAGAGAGAGAGAGAGAGAGAGAGAGAGAGACGAGCACACACACACACTCACACACTCACACACTCACACACACTGGCACAGAGATAGACTGCGAAAATAAGACAGTAGTGTCTATTGAGTAAAGGTAACTATTTTGAAAACCCCCAAAAGCATTTTCACTTCTATTTAAAATCAGAGCTCTGATCGCAACAGCTCTCGCGGGCTGCGGTTTCGAAAGAGCGGGGGTGTGAGTGTTTTTGACTTCGCGCCCCGAAGAGTCCTCCCCAGGTTCATCCCGCCCACGCAGAGTCACGCGCTGTACAATGAGACTACCCACCCGAGAGGGCTTATCGAGACGGAAAGTTCCCCCGGGAGCCCTTGCGCCCCGGTGTGTCACGGAGCGGAGAGCTTCCCCGTCCCCCAGGTCGTACGCGACCAAACGTGACCAGACGGGGCGCGAGACACAGGCAAACCTGCCCTTGACCTCCGCTCGCTCGTCTAGTCCAGCAGCATCCACGCGGCGCGGCCTAGCGTAGCGCAGGCCAGGCGCTGCCCGTGAGCCTTACGTCACAGTGCCCCAGACCGACGCTCCCTCCATGGAGCTCACGAGCGATCGGAAACCTGGACGACCCAAGCTAATTGTCTCCGAAAATCCCTCCTATTACCCTAACCCAAACCGATAAGACTCCATTGAAAACTGAATTCACGCCGTTTCCGTCGGTTCAATGATTTGAGAAACAGAAAGTTCGATTCCACGTCGATTTCGCGTTGATCGATAATAAATCAAAGAATGACAACAATTTGGACGTTGGATTTCTAACTGCCTCAATGTCGAGTTCATAAATTCAAATGCCGCCCGAATTAGAAATAATTTGCCTAAATATTCAACAAAACCCCGTTATTGAATGTCTCGCCGGTATGGCATAATGTAGTTCGAGCTTTCATGCATTTTAAAGGATGGGCCTCCCACTTTTGTTTTACCAGTGTTGGGTGTATTTTCTCTAGTTTAACATATTTAACCCGGCGTTTTCTTCCTCATCGAATTCTTGCGGAGTGGCCCAGTTACCAAAGTCTGAGGGGCTGTCGTGAGCAGTGTCCAGTCCACCGAAGGGGTCAGGGCGAGTCACGGCGCGAAGGAGGAGTGGGGGGAGCACAGGGCCTAGTTTAATCACGCCGCCGTGCGGCCGGTGACGCGGGGCTTGGAGGCGCGCGACTGCCGCGCAGAGTGTGCAGTGGATCTCCCGTCCTGACTCATTCGCATCTGCCGCTACTGCTGACTCTCGTAATCGAAGCTACAATAGAATCGCTGGAGAGAACCGCAGTCAAAGCGTCAGAGCTGTTGCTGGTATTGAGCCTGCTCCCAGGCCGGAGCTGCCCGAGGCGTTGTCCTTCGCCCGCCAGCAGCGCTGCGCTACGCCCGCCGTGCGTGGCCCCCGAGGCCCAGGCCCTTGTGACGGGGTACTGCGGACAGGTACTGCAAACCGGTCCGGCGGCTCGGCGCAGCAGCGGGGCGGGGCGGGACGAGAGGCGCGGCGCGGCCGCGGACTGCGGGGAGGGGCGGCAAAGGCGACAACCTGCCTCAACTGAGCGTCACCATGCTCAGGAAGGCGCAGGGTGGTGGGGTGGCACCAGGACCCCGCCGTCGCCGCTGTCCCCCACCGGCCACCCCCCGGGGCAGCACAACGATGATGATCGTGGCCAGAAGGGTAGGCAAAATGCGGGAAACATACAGTGGTGCGGATCGGGCTGCATCTGCGCCTGCCCACTGGGCAACCTTGTGAGCGGGCGACGATGCAGCCCGCTCTGCACCGCCGTGTGTGTCCCGCGAGACCGCGCCCGCGACCGCACGCTGACGGTGCTGGCCTGCGGCAGGCGCGTGCCTCCCGAGCGCGGCTGCGGACGGCGGTGGACACGTGCCAGCTGAGCGCAGCACTCCTGCGGTGCGCCCTGCCCGGCGCTGCCGCTGCACCGCCGCACGTGTGCGCACGACCACCTCGGGGCCCTCCGCGGCGGCGCCCCGCGGCCACCTCCGCGGCGCACTGCTCGGCCCGGACACGGGGGCCTCCTGAGCAAACTGCGCTCCTCTCTGCCGTCCTGCCGGTCCTGCACACACGGGGGAGTCCCCCGCCATTCAGCGCCGTGGGTCCCCCGCCCA